CCCCAAAACCCCAAAACCCCAAAACCCCGGTGATCTAAGATTTCATGGAATTGGCGATATACTTTAATTTAAATTATTCACATTTCAATTTCTTTAGGGTTGTTTAATAAAGCTATCTGATACATGTCTTTGAACTTCATTTTATCTCCCTCAAAGGGAACATTCTAATACTTCTATAAATATTCTAGCACATCTTGGTATCCCTATATCTTAGCATGATCTATAGGAGTTCTACCAAACTATATACACATTAAAAACTAATCAAATTTACGATGTCTTTTTTGCTAAGATCGGATTCAAATGTTAGTAGCAATTCACAAAGATTCAGATGCCCTCTCTTTGCTGCCCAGTGTAATGCAGTGTAGTCAAACTAGAAGGTATTTTATACTACATAATATCTTACTCCATCTTGTTCGTTTACCAAATCTTCATTCTTAAGCAAAAGCCTTATGCTGTTGAAAAATTATCCCTCTTTTACGTATTAGAAAAATTTCTTGGAGAATCCATACTTGAATTTGTTTTCAGCTCCGTCTACCTCATTAGTTTTTATCTAAAGAAATACATGATATTAGCAATAATTATACTTTTTCTTTCTCATGTCTAATTTATTCGAGACTTTACTAAGCTCTTCTGAGTGCTGTTGATTGAGATTCTTTATAAAAATCTTATAGATTTTTTCTCACTTGTTTGCATAGATCTATTGTGGATTTAAGTGCTGGAGTAAGTTAGTTTTTATTTAAAGCATTGATACTTTTAGAACTGAGCATTGAATTATAATCACTTTCAGAGTAGTCAAGGGACTGGTTTTAAATCCTAAATAAATCCTTCTCATTGTTTTATAGAATGCTAGTTTGATCGGATAAGTTATTATGCACCAGTTTCAACTTAACTTAGTTAGGTGAATATTACTCAAGAGGAGAGTTTGCTCCGATATTAATTCTATTAATAATCTCATTGATGCTAGTTGTCTATTCATACTTATCCATTGTCGTTGTCCTCATATCATCAGCTGTCACACTGTTGTAGGAGTTTTTAAGTCTTCTAAGTTCTCTTTGATTAACTTTAAGCTCCTTCTTTATTCGGAGCATTTCCTTCAATTTTTCGAAATTCTCATTTGGTTGGGGCAATGGGTGATTCGTCAGGATTTTAATGCTGTCCTCGTTTCTTTTAGTGTTTAACTTAGATTGATCAGCAAACTTCACGTGATTTTAGTTGATTTTACTTTTGTCTCATTCATCTATCGTAGTAGTTAAATCATGAGAATATTATCTATTATGAGCAATTTTGGGTAACTTTAATTCAGGTTCATTTGTTCTATGGGATTATAACTTTGAATTCTTTAGCTCAATACTATTCTTAAGAGAGAGTCTTTCAAACTTTTCCCTGAGTTCATCAGGCTAAAAAGCATAATAAAGACTTTTAACATTATTTTTTGTACTCAGAGATCCTTATTTGTTGTAAAACGAAGGTAAAATTTGTAATGAAACTCTTTTGGTTGACTGATCATTGATTAAATTATGCTTTATATTCTTTAGCTTTTGCTAATTATGGTAGCCTATGAATTTATTGGAGGAGGATTTTTAAAGGGAAAAATATGAATTATTCTGTTCATCCAAAAGTGTCATAAGGGTTTGCTTTGGTTACTAAGCTTATTGGAGCTTAAATTTATCTTGACTGAGACTCACTACTAATTTCATTAAAGATTAATAAATTAAAACAATAAGTAAATTGTAATAAATAAATAATCATATTAAAGGTATACCACTCAAAAGAACAAAAAATATGGAAGACCCGGGTATCGATCCCGGTGCCTCCCGCATGCTAAGCGGGCGCTCTACCATTTGAGCTAGACTCCCAGGTTATTGATTCTAGTAAGTTTATTTCTTTTAAATTAATTGAACAAGTATGAGTAAAATCTTTAGCAATTAAAAAGTCAAAATACTATCATCCATTGTATTTCTCATAATTATTAATTTACATACTTGCCTAATCAAACAATAAATTTCATCTACACTTTAATTTTTCAAAGGAGTCCTCTTACATGTAGCTCATTTTCTATTATCGGCATTATTTCCACCTCGTTAACTTCATCTGAGAATCCTATGAATTCCTTGAAGGCAATAGTTTTGTCTTTATTAATATCGAGCAGATTGAAATATCGGTCATAGTTTTGTCTAGTAGATTTAATGCCTTTTAATTCAAAGTATCCCATTATCAATCTCTCAAACTCCTTTCTTGTAATTTCACCTTTTTTACCTATATCTGCATCATCAAAGACCTTTTTTAGCTCTTCAAGGTATTCATTCCTCTGCTTTAAATTCTAACTTTGCGATGAAATTTCTTTGAAGTACTTGTATTCCTTTCTTAGTGTTTGATTACTAATCAGCTTCAAAAGTGATTCCAAACTTTACGGCTACATTATAAATTAAGTTTAATTAACCTCTTAATGTTTAAACTTTATTACTTGTACATGGGGTTTTGGGGTTTTGGGGTTTTGGGGCCCCAAAACCCCAAAACCCCAAAACCCCGGTGATCTAAGATTTCATGGAATTGGCGATATACTTTAATTTAAATTATTCACATTTCAATTTCTTTAGGGTTGTTTAATAAAGCTATCTGATACATGTCTTTGAACTTCATTTTATCTCCCTCAAAGGGAACATTCTAATACTTCTATAAATATTCTAGCACATCTTGGTATCCCTATATCTTAGCATGATCTATAGGAGTTCTACCAAACTATATACACATTAAAAACTAATCAAATTTACGATGTCTTTTTTGCTAAGATCGGATTCAAATGTTAGTAGCAATTCACAAAGATTCAGATGCCCTCTCTTTGCTGCCCAGTGTAATGCAGTGTAGTCAAACTAGAAGGTATTTTATACTACATAATATCTTACTCCATCTTGTTCGTTTACCAAATCTTCATTCTTAAGCAAAAGCCTTATGCTGTTGAAAAATTATCCCTCTTTTACGTATTAGAAAAATTTCTTGGAGAATCCATACTTGAATTTGTTTTCAGCTCCGTCTACCTCATTAGTTTTTATCTAGAGTAATACATGATATTAGCAATAATTATACTTTTTCTTTCTCATGTCTAATTTATTCGAGACTTTACTAAGCTCTTCTGAGTGCTGTTGATTGAGATTCTTTATAAAAATCTTATAGATTTTTTCTAACTTGTTTGCATAGATCTATTGTGGATTTAAGTGCTGGAGTAAGTTAGTTTTTATTTAAAGCATTGATACTTTTAGAACTGAGCATTGAATTATAATCACTTTCAGAGTAGTCAAGGGACTGGTTTTAAATCTTAAATTAATCCTTCTCATTGTTTTATAGAATGCTAGTTTGATCGGATAAGTTATTATGCACCAGTTTCAACTTAACCTAGTTAGGTGAATATTACTCAAGAGGAGAGTTTGCTCCGATATTAATTCTATTAATAATCTCATTGATGCTAGTTGTCTATTCATACTTATCCATTGTCGTTGTCCTCATATCATCAGCTGTCACACTGTTGTAGGAGTTTTTAAGTCTTCTAAGTTCTCTTTGATTAACTTTAAGCTCCTTCTTTATTCGGAGCATTTCCTTCAATTTTTCGAAATTCTCATTTGGTTGGGGCAATGGGTGATTCGTCAGGATTTTAATGCTGTCCTCGTTTCTTTTAGTGTTTAACTTAGATTGATCAGCAAACTTCACGTGATTTTGGTTGATCTTACTTTTGTCTCATTCATCTATCGTAGTAGTTAAATCATGAGAATATTATCTATTATGAGCAATTTTGGGTAACTTTAATTCAGGTTCATTTGTTCTATGGGATTATAACTTTGAATTCTTTAGCTCAATACTATTCTTAAGAGAGAGTCTTTCAAACTTTTCCCTGAGTTCATCAGGCTAAAAAGCATAATAAAGACTTTTAACATTATTTTTTGTACTCAGAGATCCTTATTTGTTGTAAAACGAAGGTAAAATTTGTAATGAAACTCTTTTGGTTGACTGATCATTGATTAGATTATGCTTTATATTCTTAAGCTTTTGCTAATTATGGTAGCCTATGAATTTATTGGAGGAGGATTTTTAAAGGGAGAAATATGAATTATTCTGTTCATCCAAAAGTGTCATAAGGGTTTGCTTTGGTTACTAAGCTTATTGGAGCTTAAATTTATCTTGACTGAGGCTCACTACTAATTTCATTAAAGATTAATAAATTAAAACAATAAGTAAATTGTAATAAATAAATAATCATATTAAAGGTATACCACTCAAAAGAACAAAAAATATGGAAGACCCGGGTATCGATCCCGGTGCCTCCCGCATGCTAAGCGGGCGCTCTACCATTTGAGCTAGACTCCCTGGTTATCTACCTTCTCATCATATTCACATATAACACTTTCGATCAAACTCTTCCTTGCAGTTCATTTCCATCTTCCTACTTATGTATTTGATGAGAGATTTTTGTAGGCAAGAAGGATTGATCGTAGATTTTATTATCTATTTAGAAAATTGATATTCTATTAGAGCAAATTTTTTAAATAATCACAGTATAAGCAAGTATCGCACTACAGAGTGCTTTGGTGTTCATTGAAAATCATTTGTGATGATTTCCTTACAGAATGCTCTTACTAAAGACTCTTTACAAAATCAAATCTTTTATGAGGAGTGTTTTACTATGATTATATATATTTAATAAGCTTGTATTATAATTAACTTTAATTCATTTGATTAGAATTCAAAATTTCATATGAGAAGATCTCTCAGAATACTTTTGTATTTTCTGGCACCCCTTGCTGTTGGATCTTCTTTACTTTATTTCCTGACTATCTCTTCTTTTTTATTAATCCTTATGTATACTTTATTAAGCAAGTCATCCTTAAACTGCTCATTCATTTTCAAAGCAACACTTAGCATTTTCATATTAAAATCTAAAAGCCATGCAACATGATTACTGTGTTCTTTATCAATTTAAGTTTTCTCCTCTTCTTCATCCTCAGATATAAATCCTGTAGGGTTCTCCTAGTACTAATTCATTTTTAAGTATCCGAACCTTCTTATTTCACGATAGGCTACTTATCTCAGCTTCACTAGCTATTCTTTAGTAAAAAACTTCTTGCTAGCATTTATTTTGCCACTTCTAGGCTTGTAAACTTCTGGCCTCTCCTAATCTATAGTCACTTGTTGAATGATTTGATGGATTTTCAAGCCATCGAGATTCTCCTTATTTAGCAAAAATTTGAACAATTCAACAAGGGTTTCATAAGGCTTAAGCAATAAATCTTCATATCTCACAAAATGGGTTGGAATAGATTAGGGAGATTTAGTCCAGTAGTAATGAAAATCTGCCCACACTTTAACCTCATCATTTACAAAGTCATTCCAAATGTGTCTAACTTTTTCAAATTACTCGTCTGTAATGGACTAATTGTGGCTACCAGTAGCAATCATATTAAATAACGATGCTATGCAGTCAATAGGAGATCTAATTATAACAATGCATTTATGAGCGTTGAATTCAGTATGACCAATTCTTTCGGGGTAATGAGTTTTTATAATCCAAACACTATCATCTATTCTACCTTCTCCTTCCATTCCCATTTCTAAAAGATCTCTGTTTAATTTCCTTGAAATGTCACAATCTGATCCAGTATAGATAGAACTTATTTTCTCCAAATATGATCTTATTAATGTATTGCCTGATCTAGGGTAGCTAGTTAATAGTATCTTCTCATTATTAAAAGTTTTCACTTCCTAGGAGCTTTATTATTCTAAGAAACTAAGTGAAGGCTATTCTGTTGTGTTTTGAGGTTGGAGGAAATATTGAATTCTTTGTTTAAGGTTAAATAAATTTGATTCCATTTGATAATAAACTACTAAATAATATTTCTCTTTTATTTCATTTAGATGAAAGAGGGGTTTTGGGGTTTTGGGGTTTTGGGGG